CAACTTTTTTTGGTGATGCAGTCTAATGTACATACATGTCAACGTTTATTCTCTTCTTCGATTAAAGTCAGTAAAACGTCAATAAGCAAAAATAAATACCTTTATGTGATTACAAAGTTAAAGCACTCGGACGAGGTCGTTCAATGAATTCAAAGTAATGCAGTAGTTAGACTACATACATACATACGTATATATGTACATATGTATATTGTGGTGTAAACAGAATTTTTCCGAGTGTCTTAGGTAATCACAGGCGGCAGGTTTTACGCAAGTGGATCGGCGCATACTTGAAAATATATGTCACATATGTATTTTCAGAAGAAAAAAGTCCCCGCAAAAACGTCAACTTCAGACATAGGGGAGCTAAACGCTCTCTTTGGCTACCGGTGTGGCCATTTTAGTTCTTTTCCGGCTAGTCTTAGCTTTCTTTTCTTTGGACTTAGCCGAAAGAATTCCCATTTAACCATACAATTTTTTTTAGCTTTTTCTTAAATCTATTTTTCTTGTCTTAGCTTTTTATTTTATTTTTTTTTTTTACAAAAAAAATTACTTCTAAATATGAATAATGTTAAGATGTCAAATGAGAATTAAGTATGAGATACCACACTGGCTTAAAAAACTACACTGCTAAAAACGAAAAACATGTTATTCAAAAGTGTGTTCCCCATAGTCAACATACATATGAATACTTTAAAACTTTTGAAGCTTCGACTTTATTCGACAACTGCTCTCTTCAGCTTTCATCATTCACGTCCACTCTAGAAATATGATAACGAGAGACAGTATTTGGAAAGACAGTATTTGAAAGGAGAGACAGTATTTGAAAGGACCTGTGAAAATATGCTTTGCACAGGGAGCTGTCTCTATTTACTTAAAATCTGGGATCACTTGCAGGCAAATTTAGCTACTATTAAGGAAGCAGTCAATTGCATTCTCAATGCTATGTTTGTCGTCGGCAAGGAAGGTAAACATCAACTCTGGTAGCCAAGCGACAATCAAGGCTCCGGTCTCGCTTATTTCATTCAAAGCTAGCAGGGAAATGTTTTACATCTCTTAGAGTTGACTCTGCTTTTATATAAGTAATAACGACGAAGATGGGAAAGCAAAACAAGTCTCCCAAAGTAGACGGAATACCGCCTGATCTTAACAAAGCCGTTGGTAAAGGGTCAGAAAGGTCCATCTGAACCGCTGCAGAGAAAGCAGCTAGTAGTCCAAAGTAGTGATATGGGGCATTGTAATAATTGAAATAGTACTTACAGTTGCTTATGAACCAAACGAGAACATTATGACTCAATTAGGAGCGGTCAAACTAAAAAAAGACATATGAAGCTCTGAACCTCGACAGATCTGCAAATGTTTCAAATATATTACTATCGAACTAGCTTGCTGGCAGAAAAAAAAATCCTCCCTAATGCACACCTTTTTTCATATCTATCCTGGTGTATTCATAAATACTTACATTGCAATATTTTTTTTTATGTTTGGCTTTGATAAAGATTTACTACATACAAACATAGTTATTAACAAGAAATGAATTTCGACAGCCGTTGTTGACACCCTTGCATTGAAACCGCTAAGCAGATAAGAAAAGAGAACTGGTAACAATGTCAAGTTGAGTAGCATTGAAATAATTTAGTTTTCTTTTTTTTTTTTAATGATAAGACAAGCAATAAACTGCCATTGGATTAGTCATACCAATGTGCATTTGATATCGAAAAATAAAATATGAATGAAACTGATTGTTCTACTAACTTGGCTAAAACTAATAAAGGTAGGCAAACAAAAGATTATGAATAATGCTATAAAATATTATGCAATCAATTCTTTGCTAAAGATGATAAATTTGTTCGCTATATTTTCGAGAATCAAAGGTTGTTGTAAAGAACTGCTTTTATATATTGTTTGTCTGACTTACTCTCGTGATGGAAGGTTTCAGGGTAGTTATGGTACAGCATGATTTTACTTTTCTATTGCTATTTAATTATCTGCAATTTATTCAGCAGGTCAGTAATTGATTGAGAAAAAAAATAAAAATATTTTTATGTGCTAACATTGAAGTCTAAAGAAAGGAAAATTGTATAAAATAATCCAAACTGAAAATGGGCTTGTTTCAACACTTCTATTTCCTGATTCTATATAGACAGGTAGAAATAGAGAGGGTAAAAATTAGAAATCATCACAAATGAGACACCCTATATGTGTTGTCAATCTACAACTGTTTTGTCGAATACTGCTGTGGCAGGCCTACGCTGTTCCTTTGAATTTTTCTTTCCATAGCACTATAATTAAAGTTACTATAGATTCCTGAGGAAAGAAACAAAACAAATTTTTCACTTTGCTCTTATGAGGATAGTTATTGCTATAGTGGGGATTTGGCTTTTTGGGGAATAGGATACACAAACATTGTGTTGATAGACGAGTAGCTAAAGGGCGGGCATAAAATAAATGAAAGCAATGAGCGAAGCTGAAATGCTGATCGAAACGGGGCTAAATTTATCACTACTTCTTTGATTATCTAACTATCAGAAAATGGAAATGCATGGCAATGACATCACGGACGAAATCATTGTGGGACACATTAACACCATGCAGTTACAGGGGCGACTGTAATAGGTCCAATGGAAGCCTTTAATGTCATCTGCCATGCATTTTTCACCGCTTGATATATTTTTATTAAGGAGTATGCTTAACGGAATGTGCTCAGGTTGAGGCAACTCCGTCTGTGTTTCCGGTATTCTTTCAACAATCCAGCCATTTAGATTAGTGGCTCCATCAAGCAGAGGGTGGAAGGATACTAATTTTACTGAACGTTTTGAAACATTTATTCTTACGGTCTGTTCAAATGTGGATTGTGACGTAGAAGTGGATAGTTTTTTTGGACTGACCCTTAAATTAAAAAAATCTATTCGACCGCCTGATTCAGCCAGTGCTAAAGCCTTTGCTATCAGAGAGGCGTTTAAAATATTTTTAGCCTCGGAACGAACGAGTACATAAGGTGATATTTTCTCTGACAATCAGATGACGAGAAAGGCTCTTGACTCAGTTGAGTGCTTATCCAATTGGCTCAGATATTTTGAGGTTGAAGAGTCCAAAACTAAATTTTTGGCATTTTGATGATTAATTTAATGAGCCGAAAAGAATTTGATAACCAACTAAAAATAAATCTTAAACATTGACCATTTTAATTTAAGAAAATGCACATGTGGTTCTTACTGGCCTCATATTTATCCACCTCTGCACTATACATATATTCCGATTCCTCCAAGGCTGGATTTGCAATATACTAGTGGGGTATGTGCTATAAGTACTTATGGGGCAGTGAATGGAATCGAACGAAGGTAGCCCCAAACCCACGCTAGAATATCGCTTGTGTCACTTTCCGATTTTCAGCGCTGCTTTCTTCTCCTAACTGAAATGAATTGTAAATCAAAGGACCAAAAATTGCACTTTAGTTAAGTTTTAAGCATAGGACTTCATTTTCTTGGCACCACACGGATGAACCAAGCTAACCTATACTATGAATCACGCTTAGACTTCACCAATTTTCTTCATTTGTAAATACATCGCACAATTTGGCATATGATTTTTTTTTTATAAAGGAAAGAGCTGAATCAGGTGAAATCTCATTCGAAATTTTTACAAAAGGTATATGGAAGCCGATCTAATCAAGCTTAGCTTAGCACAGAGACTCGAATTTTACCTTTAGGTTTACAATTTTCTTTTTTTTACATTTTTAAATAATTTTAAAATTCTTTATGTGTTGTTATGGATTTAACTTAAGCACATCAGTTGAAGAATTAAAATTTACGTTGCCGATGGTCCTTTGGCGCCAACGGCTAGGTAAAAAATTAACATTTGCTTGCTGCAGTAGTGGTTACACCAACTACCAAACTACCATGTACATATATACATATATTTGCATAAGAATTATTCGCTCGTTTGTATCTTACAAGCTTAAGCTTCTCATCGACCGACGAGAGCCAGGTTATATGTAGTAACACATAACACATTAAAGGTTACTCACGGCCAAGGTGTTGCTAATAAGCACTACTGAGCTACAGCGCGTGCATACAAATAAAATATGTACATATGTAAGCATATAAACAAAAATACCTGGCGGCAGGTGAAAACTACTGTAGATAGATTTACATGTGTATGAAGGTATATTAGGATGCCTCGCCAAGAAAGTTGTGATTTTCTCTCTGGAATTACACAGTGTTTTATATAAAATATTTCGAATAAATAGTAGGATTTACGAGAGCTCGACTGATTTGAAAGTATCGCCACAAATCTCATTATTTTGATTACGCTGATACAATTTTTAAACATTTTTATGCTGACCTTTTAAGCTTAAACTAGTCTAGCATCCGGGGGTTTTTTTGGGGAAAATATTTTGCTACATAATTTTATTGGCATATATATAAAAATTTCGAAATTCGGATGTATTTTGAAATCGGTACAGCTCACGTAAATCTTAGTATTAGTGCTTTTCCGAAATACTTTGCCGTAGCCTTAGAACAAATACATTTTATAATTCCGATGTAAAGACAGTACCACTTTTTTTTAAGGAGTGTGGTGCACCCTAATGTACATATAAAAGAGGCGAAACAGTGAATATACCAAAAAATCTGACAGTCATATCACAATTTTCAAACAAAGCTAGACACTGTGTGTGCTAAATAAGCAAAGTGAGTGATTGTGTACAAAACACCTGTGCGCATGCGCAGCAATACGTATGTAGATACAATGCGCGAACATTTTAACGCGAGACAAGAATTAAAGGTGCCAGAAAATGCTGGAACAAATAAAATAACAAAAAAAAACTACCAACACAAAGTGAGAATAGACACTTACATACATACGTATGCGAACAATTTAGACACAAAATAGAAGAAAACAAAAGTTAAAAGCAAACATAAATGCAACCTAAAAACAAAAGTGTGCCTTTGCTTATAGTCTCTCTAATTTTTTTTCTAAACTAAACACTCTCATCCATACAGGTGCATTAGCCAAACTAACCCTTGCTGCTGTAAAAACAAAATCAACCAAATAAATAAATATTTATGTCAACGTTAATTCTTATGTTTGACTGTGTTTACCTGCCTGCTGTCGTCTCAAAATAATTACATATCACAAATATTTAGTGCCTACATACATACATATCTGTGATAGAAGTAAACACAAACACAACAGCAAAGTTGTTAGAAAGTAAAAACAAAAGCCATAAAAAAAATTAAATAAATTAACACATTAGCATATCAACTTGAAAATTACGATGGAAAAAACGAAAATGCACATAAAATATTTATGTGCATCGTCACAGTCGCTGCAGTGGCTGCTGCTGATCGCCGTCACCTTTTCCACACTTCACAACAGCATTGAATGCGTCGAAATTCCAACACGTTTCCTATACAACAAACACAGTGCAGATGCGCCGGCGGCTAACACAGCGCAGAATGTCAATGCGAACGCGCTGGCGCGGGTGCGGAGAGACGTTGAAAGTGCAAATGAAGTGGTAAGTGAAATGAGGAAAAAATTTGTTAAGTTTACTAATTGAAATTACTCAATGTAAAATGGTTAATATTCGTATTGAGTTTAAAAAACAGTAATGGGGAAATCCACGGTACCTTTGACTACATGTTTTAATACTCGGTTGTCTACACATGAAAAAAGAATTAAAAGCATGTAGGCGTATATGTTAAAAAAAAAATTATAAAAGAGTTACAATATACTGCTTTTTCTTTTGAAAATTGGGAGGCTCAACCGTCATTTTTGGTATATAGTTTGTTCGCCATTTTTAGGTAGAATTAATGGTTGAATTTGAATTTTTTTTTCGAAATTTTTGCTCCAAACAAATTACTCCGCCCTAATGTGCATACATCCTTTATGCAATAAAAATTCAATTTATCTGCACAAAATCACTGTGCCATTCAATTATTCATAATGATCAGTGTTCAAAACAGCGATACTCGATTTTGTGTAATCGGCAGTTTTCGCAGATTTTTGATAATTTTTTGAGGCATCTGCATATTGAAATTTTAGTTGAACCAAACGGTTCCCAATAAAGCAATTAAACAATCTTTAGTCGAATGTACCTTGGAATTGAAGCACCTCCTTAGCAAAGGTTCAATGATTTTTTAAAAGCTTGAATTTACTAGTATTAGGGTGGTACCTTAGCGGGATACGAACTGAGATCTGATAGGTAAGTCCTAGAACTGGGTACTCGAGATCAATCAGCTTTAGAATATAAAAAATAAACATTGATGTATCATATTTACTTTAAGACTGTAAATGCCGAAGGTATGACGAAAAAAAAATTAAAAAATTGTCTTGCAAAGATATTTTGGTTTCGAAGGTGGAACTTTTTGGATTTTTTTTTTGTACATACACTGCCGAAAAAAAGTATTGGCACAGCTAATGTTGCACAATATATGCACCAATTTCTATTATACAATCCAAAAAATATAATTTCTAAACTTTGTGCAAAACTCGCGAAAACTAAAGAAATTTTCATGCAAATTTTCGACTATTTAATCAGATTTTTTTGAATTTTCTGGGGTACGAATTTTTGTAACCCTTTAAATTCTAGTATAAAAAATGCAGGTTCGGAGTAAGTCAAAAATCGCATTGATTTTTGAGATTTTTTTTTTTTTTTGTTAAAGGTGTTTTGCTTTTTTTCCATATAAAGTATTTTCGAAATTTTTCTTTGTATGAAAGAGACTGCGAGAAAAAAATTTGTCAAAAAATCAACGGTATTTCGTAGCTACTTAAAACTTTTACTTTTTTTATTTGTAGCCCAATCTGCATACTAAAGAAAATTCTAAAAAATCTGATTAAAAAGTTGAAAACTTGCTGAATTTTCGCGAGTTCGCACAAAGTTTAGAAATTATATTTTTATGTTTTTTGTTGTATAATGAACCACATTTTTATAAAAAATTGGCGGAAAAATATTACAATAAAAATTGTTGCATATATTGTAAAAAAGCAGCTGTGCCAATACTTTTTGCCGACAGTGTACATATGTATGCCTAAGATCTATAAAAAATATTTAATGCTCTAAAAACTGTTTTTTTAGTTCTTTATCCACAAGGAGCTTACTGCCACCTTTCTGAAGAAAATTTTAATGTTTCATATACATTTCTGCATACCCAAAAGCAATTGGAGATTGAAGTATGTATTCCCAATTTCAATAAACTCAAGCACTAATTGGAAAACCTAATTAACTTTGAGAGGCCAGCTAACAATTCTTTAAACCCTTTTCGACTCGTTTTTATCTCAACTACCTGACTTTTCCTGAATGTCATGGGCATTAGGTGGCGCCACAGCAGATAAGACATTCTAAAGGTCTTATATGTACATACATAAATATGTACTTATGTACATGCTTGCATACTTATATCCCTGCAACGTTTAACTCTCTTAATTCACAAATTTAAGCCATATACAAATATAAATATAATTTACAATCCGCCTCACTGGGCAAGTCTTTGCTTTGTGTTTAAAGGGATTAGTTCGTAAATCCTATCTTCATTTGACTAATTAATTAAATTTCTTATTTATATTTGCCCATTCGAATACAGAAAGCTCTATTTAATTACGCATTTCAATACGTTTATCTGTTTGTATATTAATTTTGCGACTATTTTTAATATTTTCATAATGGAATTGCGACAAAATTTTAATTAGCCGATAAAACGCCGTAATTTCGCATTTCTTACGTCAATTAAAAAGTTAATAAAGAAAGACACACCACACATAAACAGCACATAAAATAAACAATGAAATCCGTAAGCAGTAAAAGGTAGAAATTGCTACTAATTGGCGCTTTGAATTTTCAGCACGTTTATGTTGACTTTAGAAAAGCAGTAACTTCCGTTCATGATTCATGAACAACTGGATAGAGAATGAAAAACATGCTCGAAAATACAAGTGGCTGGATTTAAGAGCAAAAATATATGTACATATGTACTTTGTTTGAATAGATTTTAAAACAGCTAATTCGAATGGTATTCATACATATTAAATTTTCGAATGACATAAAGAGGCTTGAAATTTAATTTTATCAAAAATTTAATAAAGCACAATGAAATGTGTTTTCTTTCCCAAAAAGAACTTTTGGTAGCTTTTTAACTACTTTCACCCATAAATAATAATTTGAAAAAAAAAACTAAAATAACTTAATAAATATTTTTTTTTTACTAAAATTGCAAATAAATTGGATAGTATTAGTCCTTTGGTATCAGAGGATTAAATTTGCGATCGAAGTGCGCTAAGGAAACAATATTTTGAATACATTGAACTTTTTATGGACTTAGGTATTGACCAAAATTTTTCATCTTTCGCACAGATAAGGCGTAGTGAACCATATTTTTGCTATTAGTAGTGAAAATTCTAAAAAGCGGATTTTGGGTCCACCCTAATATTCATGTACCAAGATTTACAAAAAATTGTTTTCAAATTTCGATGCCAAAAAATGTTTGAAAGAAAATGATCCTCTGTCAGGAAAACTTGGCAAACTGACTTATTGTTTCCCCTAAAAAAATATTTGGTGTTCACAACTTTTTTTGACCGAGCAAACCCTCTAATTTGTGGTGTGCTACTTTTTGTTATTACACAAAAGGACTATTCTGTTCTATGCCAACACCGAATTACCTGCCGGGTGGGCGATCGCTATAAGGAAACACTTTCTTAAGTCGCTCGGATTATGGATCGAACTTTGGTCCTACCGGGTGGGTGGTAGTGCGCACTGCTGCGGCGGTCAAAGAAAAAAACTGATAATAAGTCAGTGCATGGAAATTAAAATTGCATTTCGTTGCTAACAAATCGTAACAAAAGAAATTTTATTTTGATAAAAAAAAAACGTGTGTAATGTTCAACTGCAGGCGAAGGTGTTAACCAG